AATTTAATACAGAAATGGCAAACAGGAACCCCAAGCAAACCACACATTTGGTTTTGGTTAGGGGTCATCTCTTCTTGCACTGCTTCTAAAAAGCTCAGCTAAACTATCATTGGGTAAGCCAGCTAAAAATAAATACCTTGGTACTACAAAACTTAAATCCAGAGATTAGTCAAGACAGGTCAGTTGAGAAAAGCAATGTGTCAATAACCCATAGCCAAATCAGAATCCACACCCAATTCAAACTACGGAATTTGCAAAGGTTATACAAAAAAAACCCACAACCTTTTGTTCTTTTATAAAGCAAGCAGAGCATACATATGTATGCCCAAAAAAGTAGTAGTAATGTAAAAAAGTTTCAGTGATGCAGGGGCAATTTAAAAGACAGAAAAACTTCTTGCAAATCTGGTCACAAAATGAGACACAAGCAACACTCTACAACCCATATAATAAGCACCAAAGGCTATACAGCACCAAGAACCTCAGTCCCCTAAAATGAGGTTTCATTAACAGAACAGAATCATTAGTTGATGGCTGACTTGCCCTTTTTCAGCCTTAAACATTTATTTTTCATTTGGACCAGTGACATTACTTTGTTTAGAATATAGGTAAGTACCAGATTTAATCGCAACAGATTCAAAGACTTCAGCGAAAAGGCCACTTACCAACCGAGCTATGACCCAGTCACAAAAGAAGTTCCACAATTAAAAAACATATTGCTGAATCACAAAATAAACTTGTTTGTGCCACTGATAGGGAAGTTGAACACACACCCCCTTTCATAGACAACGTGAAGCGTAGTGACCTGACAGCTAAGACAGGGCAGGACGTTTCAGTCAAAACAGTTGTGAGATTAAATGTAACATAACTAACAATCTTTGGGTTAAAGTGTTTTCTCTACACAAACGGGTTAGGCCAAGATGTATCTAAACTTCTGAGCTGCCGAGCAAGAGGTATTGGTTCATAAACCAGGAATTCCTAGAATTCTACCTCTTGGCTATTAGGAATTTATTCTGTTCTAAACAGATATAGATTTATCCAATTAGGAACCCTGCATTTAGGTCCACCAACCAAAATGATGTGTCTGTTAAAAATTCAAAAGAAAGGACAAGAGCTGAAAAGCAGATCCCACTGCTGCTCCACGTTTATCTATGCATTTCCAGGATTTATGCTTGGTCTTAAAGACAGCCAAAGTTAACAACTTCTACAACCCTGAAGTACTGTAAATCTAGACTTTATTACAGTTTAATCTTCTTAGTTAGGCAAGCAACTTTTCAACCACAAACAATCAAAAGAATCACAACTGGAAAGACTACAGATCCAGTGATGGAATAATCCCAAACAGCCATGACGATCTTGCAAGAAAAAGCTAGAAGGAGCTACCATGCTCACCAAAAAAACCCAACACACACAAGTAGCCTAGGAAGAAACTGTTTAGTAATTCCCTCACAGATACGAGCCAGTTACATCTTACTCATTCCCCATAATGAAGCCAGAAACAATACTTGAAAGAAACTTTCCAGAAATGCTTAAAGCGCCTGTATTTCAAAAAGGAAAACTCTTGCATTTCATTTGCACACTGCAGCTGACTCTAAACACAAAAGCAGGCTCTTTTACCTTGGGAAATGGGTACAGCTCCTAGATTAAAACTGATGGTTAGTGTCATTCTAATTTTCAAAGTTATAAAAATCTGATCTAGAAGTTAAGACCAGTAAATTCTCCTTACCTTAGGGATCCCAACTGATGTACAAGGAAGAAATGAATGTTCACACTGCTCAAGGTATTTTTCTGAGTTGCTTTTTCCAAATAAAAGAGTAACCACAAAACCCCTAAAATGAAGAAAGAAAGATCAGCAAGAACAGTCATCTTTTCCCCATCTAGAAAATATTTCATAGCAAGTTTCAAAATGACAATACTTGACAATTCTCACTGTTCACTCTCCTAATACAATGCTCTTCCACAGCGTAGCGTGCTGCTCAAAGTAACGGACACAACGCTAAGTATGAAGTTTCCCACTCTTGTATTATCAGTCTTGATATATTCTCCTCACATAGCAGATCTATATAGCACAGCCTATACTGCACAGCCTGCTGCATGAGAAGAACGAGTGATGGCCTGCTACCGATGCTTATCAACATTAGTACATGGAAAGAGGGGCACACACATAAGCTGCTCTGGTTGTATTTATACAAAGATTCTTTCGCTTCAAGACTATGAAGAAATAAACTCCTTGGAGGCACATTTAGGCCACTGCATTGTGGCATAAGCCAAAAAAACACAGACCAGGAAGAAACCGATGTAGTAAGTCTACTAAGCAATTACCGATTGCATATGTTTACAGAAGAAGTGAGAAAAATTTTCTACTCAGAACTTATTTTAAGCTGCAAAGAAAAAAAGAAATAGTCCTGCCAGGTTGCCTAAGAACAGAGTCAAGGAAAAAGTCTAGAGGATAATTCAAGTCAAACACAAGGTGCTGGGCTTTTTGGGGGTTGTGAGGTTTCTGGGGTGTTGGCTTTTTTCAGCTTTTTCTATTATTGTTTTGGTTTTAATTAATCCAGCATATAGAATCTAAATAAATGAACTCCACTTATTTTGAAAGAATGTTAGACCAGAAATTCATCATCATCTTCTCTCACAGTTCTACAATGACATTTAAATTATGACTTATAGTTAAGCAGGACAGCAGTTAATTTTATTATTGTTTTCTTTATGATATAATGAAGGCCTAAGGGAAAAAGCAACCATTACAGAAAGTTCAACACTGCTGCAACAGCAATAATGTATTTACAGCTTATGACACTAGGGCACAAAACCCCATAAAGATAAGGCTGGTTTTACTAAGAAATAGATGAAAACTTAACAGTTGTGCCAATTATAGCATAATCAAAGTATGTAGCTGTTGAAAAGTCAAGCATTAAAAAAAAAAAAAGAGAGAATATGAAGTCAGCGCTGCCCAGACTAGCCTTGGGATGGCTAAACATGCGTAGCTTTTTTACAGGAATTTCAAAGCATACAATTTAAAGACCAGCTGACCATCATTTGTGACCACAACAACTCACAGTTATTCCAGGCTTGGAATGTGCTGAAATACTGCATTCTTTTAATATAGATTGCCGTTGATACACGATACTCTTACTTACATGACTAGAATAAAATTCCTAACCAAGGTAAAACATGCCATCTGAAGGTTTTAATTCCCAAAGTGGGAACCATCTCTAAGTACTCCAGAGTAATTCAGAAGCAGGGAGGTGGTTGCTCATACCTGAACAACTCAGGACATACACACACACACAAAAGCTACACAATATTATCAGTAATTTGAGATTACAAAAGAAACTTTCATTTGATATTCTGATTCCTTACAGCCATCTCTACCTGCCAGCCACACGTACTTTCTACACACAAGAACAAAGAAGCAGGTCTGATCCCTCTTCTGCTCCCCATAACCACAACACCAATGATGCCAGTAGCATCATAATTCAGTTCAAGGAAAAAAACCTACTTAGAAAAATCCCAATATTAGTTTTACTATACTTAAAAGTTAACTAATGTTTTGGTTTGTAGGGGTGTGTGTTTTGTTGCTTTTTTTAATTATTGAAAAGTTTAGGTTTTCTTTTTATTATCTACCACTTTTCTATTAGAAATCTCTATCTTCTAGAAAAAACATTATACCCAAAACATTTTTTCAGCCTAAAAGCAGTTTTAGCTTTAAACGTGTATCAGTAACTTGGGGAGGAGGGGAGGGAAGGCAAGGAGGGGAGAGGTGCTTCTCTTATTCAAAGGGACTGAAGCTTTGGAAATAATTAGCTATAGATTATACATCTGTTTTCTCTCAAGTGCCATGACTCTCTTGAATTTAATGACTCATTCAAAAATACTAATATGATACCAATATAGTTCAAATATACGCTCATCTTAGACACCTTTAAGTATATGCATTTTTAAGATAGAAATGCTAGGAGCTTCTGCCTCTATAGCAGAAATTAATATATTTTACTCCCTAATTTAAAATGTTGTGTGCATTAGAGAAGGATACACAGCCTGGCCACACAGCGTGTCTATTAGGTAAGCATTTATACTAGAAGTTTCTAGTCAGCTAATTGATCAGGAGGATATTCAATACAGTAAATGAAAAATCATTTTAGTCTTCTCTAAATGAACAGAGCAGAAAAAGGAAGAGATGGTATTTTACTTAAATTTTTGTTGTTAAGTTTTTCCAAAGATATTGAAAGGCCAGCTTTTCACAGGGACAGATTAACAACATAACAAAGGTGAAAGACAGGAAAATGAAGACTAACTACAGATTTATCATTTTCCCTTCAAGTCTGGAAAGCAGCAGCCTCAGCTGAATGCTTTGTGAAAGCCAAAAAGCAGCTTCAGAACCGTTCCCGATTTGGTCAGCAGTTAGAATCATCAATGTAGGCAGCCAGTCACATACCTATGGATGTGATTAAGTACCAATAATCACGTTTTTTTGAGGAGAGAGGAAACTCCTGTAAGTGGCAAAGCAATTGATGGTCCAAGAAATTTCAATTCTCACAGCCGCAACTCGCAATGTTTTTATTTTACTTCATTCGGGTTAAAAGGGGGAAGGAGAAAGAGTAAGGTAAGAACCATTCATACTACAAGAAAAGGCAGATGGTAAAAGAGAGGCCCAGTACTCAGGTCAAGAGCTTGCACCAATACTTGAAGCAGAGGCTAAAAACATTTCATGAAGATAACACCTTGTAATAGTCTTGGCTACACAGGTTAAAGAAACAGTATCTATCCTTGGCCTCCCGCTTTTGGTGGAAAAATCTCTGTTCCCTAAGCGATAACTCACTAGATCCTGATGAGGGATGTACTAAAACCCAAACCAGGTAACATTTTATAAATCAGTCTTGAAACGAGACAAAATGGAACAAGGGTAACTTTTCATTTAGAACTTTTATCCTCACAGTTAGAAGTAAATCAAAAAGCAATAATTAGATAGCATGTAACAGAAGTGAAACACTATAAACAGATCGATGATGTTGGTTCAGCTATGGCATCACCACTGTTTTCCTTCACAATTCGCTGGCGTACAATTTAAATGCCTAGGTCAATGCTAAGAACACAACCAGCTACAATTCAACGTTTTCTTTTGTTTAAACTGCAAAATGGGGCAGAAACGGACTCCCAGCTAATGGAAGTCAGAAGCCTTTGAAGGCCAGTGTTCTTGAGCAAGTATAACAAGTTAGGAAACTGCATGACAAGTTGGATAAGAACTCCAAGATTCAGCATAAAATTCTACCATAATAATCCTTGTCCAAAATCGTTATTTTGCTCCAGAAAAGGGTATGGTAAATATTAGAGACACTACTATAACCGTGAACCAAAATTAGATTTTTATTTTCTAAATTTATATAAATCATGTTATGATATATAATTGCTAATCATAAGTGAAAAAGTTACTTCATAACATTGATTTCTGAGAAACATGACCAAGTATTTTGCATAACTTCACAGGAATTAATTAAAAAAGAAAAAGCAGGCAAGAATAATTTAGATATAAACCTACTTGACCTAGTTAGCACTCACGGTTCTGTATGCTGAATGTTAAAACCTGAAGTAGGTGTGTCACATTGAAAAAGATTAACTGTGTAAAAACGGGCCAGGCCACAGCCTTAGCCAAGATGATGTGTGTGTGGAAGTAATGAAGTAACGACGTTCTACTGGAAGTGCCGAGACGTCGTATCTCTCTACATAAACACGTAACAGGGAGATGGATCACATTCTACTTTGACAGAGTACCACAAAATGAGTTTATCTTTAAGATGATGTTTAGTGGTGTTGATAGAGCTAGGACAAAGGTTGGGCTTGATGATCTTGGAGGTCTCTTCCAACCAAAGCTGCTCTATGATTCTACGATCAATGGGCACTGACTAGCTACAAAAATGAACCAAAGCAGCAGAAGAGTCACAGCAAAGAGACACCAGGGCAGACTTGAGGATGAGCGAGCTCTAGCACTAAAGGCAGTGTCACAGTGGGAAACTGCAGCTGACTTCAGACGTACTCCATGAGACTGCTTTGACTTTAGCTTTGAAAAGCCAAGGAACTCAAACTGAGTGAGAAGGAAGGATAAGCTTTTAAGAAATTATTACATCCCACTTCATTTTTCATACTGAAAATAGCAAGGAAGTAGTAATACAAAACAGTAAATGGACAAACTCTTGCCCTTTGGACGAACTCTTTGCCTTTTGCCCTGGGCAAACAGCCAGCAAAATATGTCAACCATACATGTATCAAGACTTAACAAAAGCATTTACTCAAAAGTTAGTTTCACTTAAACTAAATCCTCACTTTAGTAGACTGACTGTTCTGATTCCTCAGAGATGGCATTCCAAGTTTAATACAGCTAAAACCCAAGTGAGGCAGTTCTAACTCTAGCCACTAAATTCTATTACATTTTTTGATGAGACATACAGAAATACACATCCATTCTGTACTGTATCCAATAAGAAAGTTAAAAGAGTGTTTCAAAGGAAGGAAAAAAAATTAAAGATAGCCCAAAACACCCCACTAGAAGTCATGCAGGTCATGGACAGCCTAGAAATGTTACTGTCCTGCAGATTAGTCTTATGAAAGGGGAATATCCCACTAATACCTTTAGACAGCACTCAAAAGTTTTAATGGTTACAAGACCATTATTATATGGAATAATTATAATATAAGATGTCATAATGGTGCTACAAACTATTCAACATCACCTCTTTGCTCCCCTCCTGCCTATATAAATAAAGTATGAAGTGTCTACAGCTGTTGAACTGATCTACTTGTTCAAGATGCAGCATGATTTCCACGCACCCAGGAAAACATCCACTCACTTCCCTCGTGAATGAAGTATCTCAGGTAGGAAAATGAAATTGTGATAAGGGGGCATAATTCCCTAGTAAGTACCCGGGAAAAGAACCAATACGGTAATAGAGTATGAACTGAAGTTAACATTGGGTTTACGTGCCTATTTGTCCTCTAACACCTGTTATAAATAGTTACTCTTTTTTTTTTCCATCAGAAATCTCCTTTTTTTGCCTGGGCAAGGGTAGCATAGGTTACTACAAAATTACTTTTGTTAAAACTGAGATTTGAAGAAAAAAATTTTGCTCATAAAGATCTGCTCAAATGTGGAAATATTAAATTACACAGAAGCCACTTCAGATTTTTCAGAGCAAACTATTTGCTAACACACACATTAAAATTTTAATTTCAAAGTAAATTACACAAAACACGTAGTAGTATACTTACCCACCCACAAAGCAGAGGAAATAAAATGCAAAGTAAAATATAGCGAAGGGTCCAAAAGTTACTAGAAAAAGCACAAGGCCAAGACTTCCCCATCCCCATATGGAAAGACTGGTCTGTAAACAAGAACACATGGAAAAGGAATAATTAATAGGACATTCATACAACTTTAAGTCTCTTAATCAATATTTGTAGTTTCAACAAAGCTTGATACATTTTACCTAGATATGAAATAAGTTTTGCTTGATGAAATAAAAATGATCTTTTTTTAAAAGCATATTGCTATAAATTTATATTGTGAGCCAGTAATGCAGTTTAGCCAACATTAAGAGCATTTTACTTTCAAATATCATTACTCAGCTCTCACCCTTTAAAATGTCATTTCTTTTTCTTCTCTATTCTCACTTTGTGCACTTGTGTTTGAGATCCTTTTTATTCCCTTGCGAAATTCTCCACTACTTCCAAGAAAAGCGCAGGCTTTGTAACAGAACAGATGAATACAACCTCGTTTTCCACAACTGAATGCATCATTTTCCACAACCAAGAAACACTATTTCTTCCCTAGATCAAAGCAGTTGCAAGACCAAAAAAAAGCATCCCTTTCTCCAGTCAAGTTACAAATGGGTTAACAATTGCACCAAATATTTGGTACAAGTTTACCTTTACTCTTCAGTTTAAATAAAAGAAAGGGAAACTTAAGAAACCAATTGCAACCTCAATCAATTTTTACCACAGAAATTAAGAGCATTCAAGCAATTCTTTGAAATATCTAAATACATTTCTGTTTTAAAAACAGGAAATCTAATATATTAAAAAAAAAAAGAGAGAGATTACAGAATAACATTTTCTCCACACAGGCATTATTATCACGTTCCTAGAAGAGATCTGGCTTAGCAGGCAGGACTGACACTTCAGCAGTGGCAGGGAGACAAGGGCTGCTTGGAAAGCCCCCGGTGCAGCTAAAGTCACCCACAAGAGCATCTGCAGGACTGGTGGGATTTGGGGGCTGGTGTCTTGCATATAGCAGCAGGCAAAACTTCACTTGCACTGGCAGATTCATCAGGAGTACGAAAAAAGTAGCAAGATTCAGGTTATTGTGCCGATACAGGTTACAGTAGAAGTGCATCCATATACACATGCATACACACTTGATCTATCCACAGATGTGTGTATGTACATATACATACACACACATATACGCAGCGTAATTAAAAAGCAAGGTAACGAAAACCTGATTGAACTAAGCTACAATAGTTTTGGACCTTCACAATGCTGCAATGCAGTCAACAAAGATTATATAAATTTAATTCCATCTCGTCTCCAGTTCAATATGGAAAGCATGTTTCAGCCAAGTCCCAAGAGTGTGAAACCGATGATGACAAGTATTTATAGGCCACCAAAACTGTTCCAGCTCTACGGTTCTCAACTTTTCTTTTTTTGTTGTCTAATTTACGCCTTTCCTACCAGTGATCAAATGACACCCTGATGGGAACTCAGACAACTGCTATGTCAACAAATAACACTAAGGAAGTATTTAAATAAACTCGTCTTGCAGTTTGACATTTAGAAAACAAGCAGAGATCCAACACCATATTCACAAAGTGCCCTTTTTTAGCTTTTAATATGGAGGAGAGGGGAAGCTTGCCTACAGCTCTTATTTCTCTAAAGGGACTGTTTAGATTTCATCTCTCCATCTTGGGCATGGGATTCAGAAAAATCAACTTCCTCACAAAAGTTTTAAAAACCCTATAAACAATGAAAAATAATATAAAATAAGGTTCCTACGTAAAGCAGCTTCAGTTTTTTCTGAGAGCAAGGCATTAGATTGCCCAAAAGCAAAATCATAGCCCTAAGGAGAGCGTGTTTCATAGATGTAAACTGTAATCATCAGAATAATTTAATTCTTCCTAGTTTATTAGAAGTTTAATGAACTAGTGAGACAAAACTCTATTTTCTTCCTAGTTAAAAGTTTCTTAGCAAGAGATGAAGAAGCTATAAGGCTTTTTTCTTGCTGTTTGAGGGCTAGAAAAAATTACTTATCTACATACTTTATATGTTTACTTCAAAGTGCTGCAATTAAAACACCGCATTGTTAAGTTATTCACTTCTCTTTAAGCTGAAGAAGTGCTTTACTAGATATTAACTGTACAATCCACACAGCTAAACTGCTGGAGATCAGTGCTACAATAAGTAAAAAAAAAAAATCTTGGCCACAGTTGAGTAGAAAAGTTTGTTGACTCATAATAAGCAAATGCAGTAGATAAACTGCTTGGAGGGTGGGGAGGAGAGAGAGACACCAATCTAAAAAAATCCTGGCAAACACAACAATTAACTAAGAAAGACACGAGCTCTCACTACACATCTACATTTCAATACACAAAGAAGATTCCTCATACTCATGCCCTCAGAAACACATTTAAAAACTTATGCAGAGAACTACAAGCAACAGGAAGATATGCATACAGATGATTACATTTAATTGTGGTCTTTTTTTGGTCAAAAAAATCAGTATGCTTAATGGCATTATTCAAAAAAGTTTAAGTTCTAAATATTGGATGAGCACTCTAAAAGACTTAACAAAACTTAATTAGATAGCAGGATGCATAGTCAGAGTTGGATGAATGCATAATTAACAAAGAAAGTTCTATAACTCTAACAAATAAAACAGTGACCTTTTGTCCTATGCTCTAGTTTTGCAGTTTGGCATATGGCTACAGAGATTCAAATCTCATTTGGTATTTTAATAGGATTCTTAAAACTCACGTAACTTGGTACACTGCAGTATGTGCAACAGATACTGGCCCAATTCTTGTATACTTTAGATGAGTGGTTTATAGTCTTACGGATTTCAAGAGATTCAAAGGGATCTAATCATCAGCATGGTTCCCTTTAGGCCGACTGTAAATAAAATTTCCCCTAACTTCACACTTCTTAAAGGTACTTCAGCAGTGTAACTCTCAGACAAAAATGAAAACTGTTTAAAGTTCCTTTAACACATCAAAGTCAACTACTACAAGAAAAGTAAGTCCAAACATTACACAAACATGACTCTGAAGCTGGACAGTATGGAACTAGCTCAGATATTTAAATTCAAACCCCACTACTTATTTCCAAAGAAGTTTTATTTCTATCAATTTTTTAGAAGACTCACAGATTTACTGAAGCTCTGCCTAGCCTTACTAAAGCTAACTGCAGGGTGAATGCTTGTCACTCTTGACAGAACAGGCCAGTCCTCCAAAGAGATGGTGTAACACCAGCGTTGAAGTCACAGCTACCCAGACCCCTTAAAAGAAGCTGACATGCCCTATGCCGGGAGGGCAAACTTCCAAGCTGAACTGTCACAGGACTACTTACTGAATCTCAAGTAACCACCAGAGACAATTAACTAAATGCTAAGGAATATAGGCCTTAATCCTGGTGTAGGCACATGTGGCTATATACCACCTGCACACACACGTGCGCTCGCAGATAAAGGATCTTTATTCCAGAGCAACAACCACTCCATCTCATCAGTTTTAGCCGCTTCTGCTTACCAACTCTACAGATGCCCTGTGTTAGCCCCACCATCACTTCTTGTCTTTCAGGTCTAAGATCTTACAAAAAAAAAGAAAAAAAAACCCGACTTCTGCAGCGTTGCAGTGTATTAGCAAGGCCGTACACGCAAAGGGCTAATGTAGCACCCCAGTCACACGCAGTAATCTTCTTCCCACAGTATGGAATTGCTTTAGCAGAATCAGCTGCAATTGCAGTAAAGGGCTGCCTGCAAGTCCAAACAGCACACCGAAGACCCGATCAGGTGAGAGGAGGCACACTAAGGTGAATCCACATGAGCTTGATTCAGCTGTTACAGATAACACTAGCACCTCTCAGTGACACCTGCTTTTTTGTTTGTTTGGGGTTTTTTTTTTGGTTTGGGTTTTGGGGGGGTTTTTGTGGTTTTTTTTTTGGTTTGGGGTTTTTTTAAACAAGGCTTTGTCCGTTGTTCCCACTGGATGTTTTTCCCCAGTATGCAGCCAACTACTAAAAGGAGTACATAAAGAACTTGCCTTCTTACACACACCTGCTTTTCCTTTCTTTGGCTTTTCCTTCCTAATTAATGCAGCATTTTGATGGTCCTAGTTGCACAGTGTTACGGCTAGCAGTGCTGAAGTAAGACTGACTATGCAACTTAACATGACCATTCACCCAGGAGCTTACGTAAACCCACAAGATTCATTGCTGAGAACAGTGTACTAAGGCCACAGACAGTCTTAAATCAACAGTTTAAGGGAAGAAAATTTCCACTGTAATTGAGCATGCGTGCAGTTATGCGTAATATAATTTACTAGTTACGAACTACCTAGACTATTTTGCAGACAAATCAATGGGAGCATGGCAAGGATTTAACATACCAACCACAACAGCAGTGATTTACTCCAGTAACAAACACAACTTACGTCTTAGTATACTTTAAAGTAGCTTCCACAGCCTCCTTGTTCACTTAATCCAGCCGACAAGCTTTCACAGCTTTGCTTCTATCCCATCTTTAAGCAAAATCCTCAGCCTTGATACACCTTTCACTAAAATGTTTCATCAAGGTAACTAGAGGTTTGTCCTTTGGAGTTAAACTGCTGTCAAAAGTAGCTTGCAATTGGCAGGAAGACATGTAAGTGTTCCCAGCGTAGTGCAAAACCAGTGCTACTCCACAAGCCCCACCAACAGGTAGCCCTTTTCTCCCCGTCTTCCCCTTTGCCCCCAAACTGCAGACATAGGCTCTGGGCACCACCTTCCTCCCACTCCAGCCAGGAGCTCCTCTTCCAGGCTCTCTTCACAATTCCCCCACACGCTCATAACTGAGGTTCCAAGTTTAGAGATGGGGCGGGAGGAGAAAGAAAAAAGACAAGCTGGGCTCTGGAATCACCCGATTGTCAGTCTGAATGCTTCTGCAGAACACCACGAAGCCTTACAGCCGCAGCATCCCACAGGCCACACCACATCTGCAGACTGACCTTGGTGACTGTTTTCAAATTTAACAGTTGCAACAGAATACTTTGAACACAGAAAGCACAATGCCGTTTAAAAACGAAAATACACTTCTTTGCTCACAATTCTTTTAGCATGTATATCCAAT